GAATATATTTACATTCCGTAAAACCAAAATGCTGAAACTTCTTCCTACCAACTTTGCTTGCTCCTATAAATCAAGAGCCCTTGTGGAATTGAAAACTTTGTATAATATTTCAGTACATAAACTCCAAACTTACAACATGATTATGCTGCACTACTATTCAGAGTAACCTAGATTTATCTGGTCATTAAGTTATTTTCATTAATTAAAACCATAGACTTTTTCTTCTCTCTCCGAATTGATATCTAAGTTATTTTTTTAACCTATTTAATATATTTTTTATATTTACCAAAATAGATTTTAAGATCAAACTGTATTTTGACTGTTATTTTGAAAAAAAAATCATTAATTTTAAAATCGCAAACCAATTTTTAATTTATTGTGAATGTCACGTGGTGAAGACTGAGTACGGTTGAGCCAGGATGCGTCGTCATAAAAGCTAAACGATATAGATTTTGTGATAGGGTCCAAAGGGTGAAATATGGATTACGATTGTTGGAATAAGTTTCATTATTCCTTTAAGTGAGCGCCTTACATTAACATGATTTGTAGACAGCATTGATTTCAAATAGTCAAAAGTAAGTTTTCATGTTCGAATTATTTTAATAATAATTGTTAATTAGATACAGATAGATCACTTTGTTTGTCATTTTGCGATAAGTTCCTTCATTTTAACGCTTGATCAAGTATTGTTTATTTAATTTTCATGTAGGCAAACATATGGAAAATTGTCCAAACAATACGAATGATAAAAGTGTCATTATTTATTATAATCTATTTGAAGGCATTTAATATTTTCTATCTGCAGTATTTATAATAATTTATTTCAAAGCAATACCGTACGGGAAGCTCTTGTTATTTACTTTACGGCACAATGCCATGCAACATTAGTTTTATAATTCGTTTGTTTCATATTTCTATTAAACTATGATACAAAGCTCTGGTTTCTAAAACCGTAGCTTGTTTAAATCAACGTCTGTTTTATTAAAATATGAGCTGTAGCTATTATCTAAATCAAATATCTAAAGGTAACCTGACATCATTGTTTGATTACAATACATTATATTATGGTATAATACCAAATTTAATTCGTTACATATAGAAATCTACGTTGCCTGATAATAATATTTATTTAAGCTGCAATAGATTCAAATGAGTGTCTGTATTTTAGTAAATAAGTAATTCCATTGAATATTTCGTGTACAAATTCGATTTACACAAGGCGAATCTACCATAGATATCTGTCAATAAGCATTAAATAATCGTTCATAAATGCGTTCGTCTAACGAAAACAAGTAATATATAGAAATTCGCTAGTCGTAAATATATACAACCTATTTAAGATTAATGTTGCGTCTACATAAATAAATTTATGAAATCGGATTCTGTGTATTACAAGATATATGAGAGTTTTGTTATATATAAACAGCATTAGTGATACGTAGCACGTGACGCTGTTGCCGATACCCAAGAGTGCTCCGAAGAAGAAAAGCGTAAAGTTCCTAGAATACACATCAAATGTTCGGCGTATAGAAGAGAAAGCGCACTTACGCCCTGAATAATGTAGAAGCATAGCGTGCGTTTGATACCTCGGCATCGTCGAACTTTTGGCTAATAGCATGATCTAGGAGCGAAGGTTTTAAATCCTTCGTTAGTTCGGGACTAGCGATACAGAGCCAAAGCAAATATCATTGAATTAGGATTAGAATGAATTTTCCGATCAAGAGATGTTTGGGATAGCGCTAAATTAGGGGAAAGTCTTGCGATCAGTGAAATATTAAGATTACATCATCTGGACTATTATTCACTATTAATAATGGGCACTAATATCGTGTTACTCAGATTCACCGCATTATCATTTTTAATTCATTAAGTCACACATGAACGTGCACCTTTAACAGTAAATGTTGTGAATTGTATTGAATATTTTAACTAAAATTCGACTTTCATATTTTTAACTATATCTATTCTTTCGCATTTTATCAATGTAGATTTATTGAAATATTTTGAAAACTTCAACAAAATAGTTGAAAGATAGTAAGTTTAACAGTTACATCAATTGTGTATTATGTTATAGCACAGTAGCTGAGTATTGATTCTCTATACATATTTGATTCAGGGGAGACTGAGTGCGGCTGTGCCACTTTTTTTCAGCCATAATTTTGTTAATTTACCTAGCTAGAAGAGAAGCAAATTAAATTTTAATTTGAAAATTTGTCTACGTGAAAATACTGTCTTTAAATACAACGTATTACTCATAAAATCCAATTATACAAAAAAGGTTCAGAAAAACAACCGTCCACATCTGAGGGACGGTTGTGACAGCATTTGGGGTCAGTTGTAAGAGCATAAAATAGATTGAAAACAAGAGGTATAAACACCAAAACGTGGTTTATAACGACTTTTATTATCGTTTTTAGCAATAATATGTAACAATATGTAACACGACCCAACATAAATATTTAAATAAAGCTTATAAATATAACGATAACATAAATATAACGATAAACTAAGAATTCTTTGTGAAATATTTTTTTCTTATATTGTTTTTTTCTTTTTTTTCCTTTCTTGTATCTCGTCTTTTTTAGTTAGATATTTTCTGTTGAATTTTTACCCGAAAAGGACAAGAAATACATGCCACAACGGTACTCCAAAATTTGTTGAAACCGTACCCAATGCACACTTTTGAAAACGAATTATAATTATGACTGAGCTAAATTATCCAAGCAAAAACTAATTGCTGGTAAATAACTACTAATGTTCAACTTACAGCAAAAAATTAAATAAACAATACTTGATCAAGCGTTAAAATGAAGGAACTTATCTCATATTTCTAAGAATTAATAAACTGAATGGCGAAGTTGAAATTATTTATGCCAAATACGTATGTGAGTTTGAGAATTCAGCTACATTTAAAAGTAAAATCCGAGTCATTTTTACCATCACCATTCCCGATAACTCCAAACAATATGTAGAGTCTTCCTGCTGCTAAACAAAGTTGTGCCAATCTGTGGAAGCTGATCATTAAAACAGAAAAAACGTTTGATGTATTTATTTATTCCATGATTTCTTGTGCACTTTACATATAACTCAAACAACTGAACATAAATACGACTGAATATGATTAACTAAAATACGACTCCATTGAACCCTAAAGTACGTCAGCCTCAAGACTGCGTCATTGCAAGCCTTTTCATCAGCTTGCCTTCAATGTAACTTTGAAATCTTAGATAATATTATGCATAATGCAACACAATACATGGCTTTTTAGTTTACATGAAATTTGGATTTTTCACACGGTATTTAGTTAAATGCTATGATTTTATTGCAAATTCTTTGAATATTGGTTTAATTAATTTCACATAGGATAAGTTATAGTAATCGCAAAAAATAGAAAATGAAAATTATTATATATCTTTACATTTAAGAATTGAAATAAAAAATATCAAAATATGATAAAAACTCATATAATATATATATATATATATATATATATATATATATATATATATTTAAAATTATAAAATCTTCAAAAATCTATAGGGTATGCCATCTAACATTTTTTATTTTCATTTTTTTTTTCAACGGTCAGCCGATGCTTTTTTTCTTCATTTTTGAATGAAATTATTATAATCATTATTAACTGAATTATTTCATTATTAACTGAATGGATTGTTCTTTCAAATAAAAAAAAATTTAGAAAATATTCAGTAGTTTGCAAAAAAAATTATTTGGCGGGCCCTATATTTATCTATTTTTAAAAAAATATAAAGCTTTTCCAAAAAATTTGAATTTTTGCTACGGGAAGTTTCATCTTAAGACACGATGCTGCACCATGAGTTTGAAAAACAGTGTTTTTTGTATAAAATGCATACCCACATAAAGGGTGTGTTTCCATACAGAATTGGCGCCATAAAATCCGTTTCTCAAAAAAATCCAATATATCAATTTCCAATTATCTGGCTCATTATTTGCCCGAGATATCATTGAAATGTGTGAAAGTGGCTACATTTTTCGAACTCACGATTTGCCGGAATTATAATAACAATAGAACAATAGAAAGCGCTGGTTGTGACAATATGATTTGTAACTAGCGGTAAGTGGAATTCTGTGTTAAGGCAATTAGGGCATCGTGCCTTAAGGCAAATTGCTGGAACTTCCCGTACCAAAAATTATTATTTTTTTAAAAACGATTAACGTTTTTGAAAAAAATTTACTTCAAAAAATTAGATTTTTGAGAAACTATAAATTTGACAAAAAATTACTTTTATTTGAAATATTTTTTTTTTGAAAACAAAATTTTTTTGAAAAAAAAATGTTTTCTTCATTTTGACATATTTTGGAAATTCTGAACTTTTTTTCAAAGCAATCGTACTGCTTGAACTGCATAGAGACGAAATGTCAAAGCGCGTAAGTGCCGCGCCGCCGTCTAACGGATAAGCATTGGTACGGAACTCATAGAAATCTCACAATACATACAGACACGCACACACACACACATACATCCATTTTTTCTAAGGTATGCCAAAATATTCAGAAACCTTTGAAACGTAGAGATATATAAAAAATTTCATTTTTGATTTTTTTGCGATTACTATAACTTGCCCTACGGGAAGTTAATAAATAATGTTGAAAAAAGATTTTTAACTGAATGAAACAATGAAAATGAATATTATTTTATTAAGTTATTTGGACTACTAATTAGCAGCATTCGAAAATCTGTACATTTTTTTACTTTTATACAAAATTTTGTTTTCCCCGAGGTGGAACTTCGTATTCAAAAGTTGAAAATCTGAGCTAGTGCACGTTTTTGACCGTATAAGAACACCATGTAAGTTCACTTTCCAAGAGCGTATTACCCTCGTTGTCGTGCGTCTTAACAAATTATGTATATTGAAATATTTTTAATCAAATTTGATATATTCATTTATATCTTATATATATCGTTAGAAAAATACGATTCATTTGAACTCAAAGTCATTTATATCTATATCTGTTTCCAGTGAATAAAATGTCTCCGCGGCCCTCACTGATACCAGACGCGGAGTCTCCACCGCCATCAGCAATCCCAGAACCAGCGTCAGCGTCTGTTACGCCAACGACAACTGCCGCTGCGACTGCGAGTACACCGACAACGGCGGCGGCTGCAACCCCCGCAACGAAGACAGAGCCGGGAAAGCCGCCAAGCAGAGCAGGCGCATGCAGAGTATGTTTGAAAAGCTTTAAGCCGGACGATTTCAGCAAGACGTGTTCGGACTGCCAACAAAGAGTTTGTGAAGATTGCGCAAGTTATAGCAAACAAGACGAAAGCGATGATCAGGTATTTTTCAAGAATTATAACAGAATGTATGAATATATATTTATTTATATTTTTTTGAATATGTAACATTTCTATATAATTTTTAAAATGCTCAACTTCATATTGTGAAGTCGCATTCTTATTCGTTTACAAAATACTAGCGGTTGATACTGCGGATTTTGTATTAGATAGTGATTTAGCAAAACAGGTACTAAAAGAGAGAAGAAAATGTGAGAATATATCTAACTAGTGGTGCATAATAAGTGTCTTAAGGCAAATTGCTGGAACTTTCCGTATATTTTTTTTATCTTTAAAACTTTGAAAAAATAGATCTTAATAGGAATTTTGAATTTTTTTGACATTTTTGAAAATATTGCAAAACCAACGTTTTAAATTTATTTTAAAAAATTCGACTTGTTCGAAAATTTTGAAACCCTATCAAGTCGGTCGATCTGCAGTGTCGAAATGCCGAGGAAATTGGTTTGAACTATATAAACCAACTTTACTTGTTTTTCATATTTGTACTGTTACATACATTTAATCCTTGTCATAAATTAATTAATGAGAATTAAGTATCAGTAACTAGTTCCTATCTTGAATAAATCGAAAGAACTATTGTAATAGTAAATATCGAAAGTAGTTACTTTTATTCTTTAAATTTAATATGATATATAGTAAACAATAAATGAAATATATAACTCACTATGCGTCTAAATACTGAAAAATTATATAATAATTATCAATTTATCAAGTAAATTATTATCACTCAATAGTTATAAAACTCATTTCTTATAATTTATAACATAGCTATTTGATATTGAAAAATGCAGTTTCTGAAAGTAGAAATTTATTGACGTAATATGAATGTTATATTAACAAAATTTTATAATGGTAATAAAACGTAAAATGCAATGCACGTAAATTGATGTTATATTAATATTTTAACCAATTACAAAATAATGTTGAAATAGTTTAAAAAATATGAACATTAGTTTAGTTTCACGTTTTTTAATAGAGTTTATAAGGAGTATACATTGCCGATTCTACAAATTATTATTATTGATAGTTAATAAGAAAGTTATTCTAATTGCTTACTTAGAATTTTAATTTCTCATAAAAACATTATAAACGGTAAATCATCATTCTTTCGGAAATCATCATTCATTCGTGAAAAAGTATAAAAGCAGATAACTAAACACTTGTTGGAGCAATTTTGATACAATAGATACACATTAAGGTATTTTCAATATATTATATTTATTAGGTACGTGTAGAGAGGATCAACTAATTTATATACTAAAATTAATACTGTTCAGGTATCATAGTTTAATGTACTTTCACGTGAAAACAATATTAGAAAGACGATGGTACAAATGTTGCATCAACATTAATGTTTCGACGACGATAATTGAAAATCGATACAAAAACAATATATCATAATCCACCCATATTTCGGACATCATTTCTAATGCGTCGGTAAATCTTTGATATAGAGTTTGACGACAAATAAACAACGGCTCAATTCAAATTCAATTTAATAACCTATTCCACCATGTATTCGACATTATATCTATTTTTACACATTTTTTCATTTTTGCATATTTATATGTCATAATAAATTCAATGTTCTATATTATATTGGTTTTTGTATTTATCTGCATTTCTACATTCTTGTTAATAGCTTATTTTGTTGATTCTGAATGAATTGAATGCACATTATATAGGTTTTTACTAGAGGCTATCTGTAATAGGGATTACTAGTAACAGGCGTTTTTCAATAGGATCTCAAATGGTTTTAAATTTTTTTTTGTCTCGATTGTACATGTAAACCGTACTGCATGATATTGTCATAGCTATTGTTTCGCAATATGCAAAAACTGCCCGTCATTTTTTACATGTATTCTAAAATTAATCAAAATCTCGGTTTCCGTTATTATTATTGACTAATTTTAGATTCCATGTATCTTATTTTGTTCTAAAAATATCCATATTTGAAAATGTATTACAATTGTTGTGAATTCTAAATTGTTTGAATGATTAATGATTAATATTTGAATGATTTTGATTAATGTAAAATATTACATCTGGGGTTAGTTAGAACGGAATCTTCGCTAGTTGAAAAATACAAAAATTATATACAGATTCAAGTAAAGAAAATTAAATAGAATGTATTATATTTATATTATATAATATATTCTAAGATGTGGGTATATGTAAATTGTGTTACAGGAGACAATTTATCTTATATTTATATTATAATAATATTTATAGTTTACGTTGATTTATGATAAAATTTATATTACAGGACATTATATATTTTATTTGAATTATCTATATTTTGCATTGACATATGAAAAGAATAACTTAAAACAAGTCAATTTTCTTAAAAATCAATAAAAATAATATATGTACAACTAGCCTCAAACATAGGGTAAGTTGTAACATCGCACTTTATCTAGAAATTGATTAATTGTGAAATAATGAACAAAAGCTGTGAAATTATTTTTACTTGAATCAGTAAATAATCCCGAATAGTTATAATAAAATAGCATTTACAGCATGCACCCATCTTTATTTTGCAGAAATATTTTTTTTTTATATATTAATTATAAATTATATCAATAAATTAATATTAATATAACTAGCTCGCCTACTTCATGTTGTTTTAAATAGTGCGGAAGTGCCAGCTATATTTTCACTTGCAAACTATATATTTTTGATCAAGTGAAAATGGGAATAGATTCTCAAGTAAAAATCGATATTACTACTGCACTATCACGCTGCGTACAACCCGGGATTTGAACAGGGATCTTGTGGCCAGAAACTCATTAAGATTCCATCTACTTAACGATAGATAAACCAATTGTCACATAAAATTAAACAGTTTCATCTCAAATTTATATTTTTAAAATATTGATAATGTTTTAAAATCTTTTCAAAAATGGTTGCGAAAGAGATAGAGATCGGCTCGACACGTTATACTGCAAAATTTCAATTAAATTTGTCTGTAAATTATCAGAATGGAAACTTTTATAAAGAAAATTTCTTATTTCAATTGTTATTCTACGAAAAAGTCAAGGAACTATTCATTTCGAAATTGAAAAGCTGTAGTAATACCATTCTTTGCTTTCCGTCTATAAGATAAAATGCCCCATAAAATATATAGCGTCCCATTGCTTCTTAAGTTCTCCCTTAACGTAATAGCACTCACATATAATATATCAAACATGATATAATCTGGCACACCTGTTGTGTAGTTTTGAACTTCTTTATGGTTTCAGCTCGACAATTTTCATAAAATAATTTTGTAAAGCAATACCTGATTTACCTATTTATAAATGATTTTGTATAAATAATATTTTTTTAATTTATCACAAACTTGAAGTTAAAAATTATTCTGAAAAGACTACGTCGATACTGTGTAATAAATAATGAGCAGTACTGCCCTAGGGTAGATCCGTAAGCTGAGTTAAACTCCAACTCAAAAAATAGCGTGAAAGATTTTCCATTGTCGTTTCACACAGCAGTGTTCAAAATGATCAATTTTCAATTGGAAACATATTTTTGATCTATATTTCAAAGTGCCATAAATTTTGAAGTGAAAATCGCTACTGCACGATGTCATTTTGTCTAATACGGGATTGTAACTCACGACTCTGTCCACACGAGTTCGTTAGTTTAATCATTACACCATGAAACACCCACTGCGCAATATAATTGTTTATTAAGTGATTTTAATTATTACGAAATTTTCAAACTTAATATTATGCAATCTGCATAAAATTTTAACACGAACCTAAAAAGTTACAACGGAGCTCTGATTTTACTTAGTTTTATAAAATTGCTTTCTAGCAAAATCGGGCGTCAATAAAATTACAATTTTTGCAACTTTACTTTAGAAAAAGCAAAATATAGTTAATTTTTATTGAAAAATGTCTGGAGAATAATCATTAATTTTTGTTATAAGAATAATTTAAATGGCATTAGAAATAAGTTTTGGATCTACTCAGTTCTGAATCTTTTATAAATTATTGTGAAATATATTATTTAGTGCATGTACCTAGTACTTAATACTGTTTACTCTATAATTACTAATAATGTCTCTAAGAAGATCATCGACTCATGCTTCCATCTAAAATATATTATATCAACATAACATGCAATAAATATATTGTGTTATCTAACTTTATGATCGAACATATATATATTAGGAGGTATAACATATTTATATACTACCTATCAAATGGTATGCTGCTTTATGTAATTTGGAAAAACACTGAGATAAAAGTTTATGGTATATGTGATACCAATTACTGCAGCATTCAGAATATCAGAACTCATTTTTTTAAATGAATTATTGCTATATTGACCTGATCATAGAATACTTGTAACTTGTTAACTTCCCGTAGGGTAAGTTATTGTAATCGTCCAAAAATCGAAATCAAAAATTTTTACATTTCTCGACGTTTTGAAGGTTTCTGAACATTTTGGCATACTTCAGAAAAAATGGATGTGTGTGTGTGTGTGTGTGTGTGTGTGTGTGTGTGTTTTGTATGTCCGCTTTTTTTCGTCCACGTTTTCGGGCGCACGGATCAACCGATTTGAATGGTTTAAAAAACATTCGATTCCTATTGATAGGGAGATGTGCTGATTAGCTTTTGGCAAAGGCAGGTCCAGCCGTTACGGAGATATGGAGCAAAGAGTGCAAAAAATAGAAAGCGAGTTTTTGAGAGAACGGATCAACCGATTTGAATGGTTTAAAAAACATTCGATTCCTATTGATAGGGAGATGTGCTGATTAGTTTTTGGCAAAGGTAGGCCCAGAGGTTTCGGAGATACAGAGCTAAATTTAAAAAAAATGGCTGTTTTTGAGAGAACTAAGCGTCCGATTTAAATGATTCAAAGAACTTTCTGCTTTTTTCAACAAAATAATTGATTTTGGAAAAAAAAAATTTTTGTTTCTAATTTTTTTTCCAAAAAATTTTTTTGTATTTTTGGATTAAAAATTCAAAAAATCACCC